GGGGGGACCACAGATGACTCCGTTATTCACGGGGGGTAATATTAGGCCCAAAAATAACGTTGAATGTATTTTCGGACAAATAGGTGGATAGAGCTCGATACTAACCATTTGTGATACTACAGGAGTATTTTTAGCCCTTTTTCGTAAAAATATTTAGTTTTGAACTCTCCAATGATGTTCATATTTATTTTTTTAAAATTTTAATAAAGCTAATACAATATTAATAAAGGTGAAATGTGTGAACAATTATATATGTAGTGGAGTTCGATAGATAGCTAGTGGAGTTCTTTTTTCTACTTAAAGTACTATTAGTAACTAGTCTTTTTGTACGTGCGTTGCACGTGTTTTTCATATAAATTTTTTACTGAATGCTAAATAATAGTTATAAATCTTTAATATGCGTACATATTTGAAAAATATAACTTTAAGACTCTTTATGAATTTTTGGTACATCTTTGTTCTTCTGTCATAACATTGTCATTAAGTTTTGGTATATCTCCCATATGAATATTGATTGCTCCAATAGGTGATGCTGGAAGCAACATTTTTTGGCCAACTTTATCTTCCCTATATCCTTCCGCCATAATAGTATTAACTCCGCATTAGCATAATTGTCTTCTCAAGATTGATTGCTCTTTTATGGAATATTGAAGCCTTATTTTTTCTATTTTAGTACACATGTCATGCACACAATCTTCAATTTCCTCATGTACACCTACAAGTAATATGTGTTTAATATACTAATAAGTGTTAGACTTCAAATTTTATTGTTAAATATGAAGAATTGAATTGCCAAATGAGTCTAAGTAAGGTAAATTAAAGAATACTCTTTAATGTTCAAGTTACACAATTTTATATTTTTCAGTAAAATCTTTAAGCTTGATATATCATTATTGGAAAAGTACAATTTGAATTGTATAATGAATCCTCTTTTATCTACTGGCTGAAAATTAGATAATCAATAGCCCACAATATATAATATACTCTTCAAAATTACTTCAATTTCATATTTTTCAATTAAATCTTTGAGCTAAGTCTTATTCGGGTGACTATAGTCCTTTTTCATATTAGCCTTATGCGAGGAGCTCTCCCAAATTAATTAAATGAGGCTTAGATAAATACAATATAAGTTCAACATAGAAACAATAATAGGATGTAAAATAAACTGAAATAGCCCATAAATAAAGAGGAAAGTGTAGAAGAATTGGTATAAGGATTAAAATGATGGATTTTAATGTTTCTTTATCGTTGTATTTTCTAAAATGATCCTGATACAGTAAAAAAAAATTACCATCATTTGCAAGAAGTATGTTTCGTGTAAATTAATTTCATGAATGCAATAAACTAAAAGCAGTAGAATGGAGGAAATTACAGAGTTGTTCGTAAATCTGTGTGAATTCATCTTGCTCAAATATAGGATCCTGTCTGCAAGAGTAAGAAGCATAAAATAATATTATTATAAGTCATGTGGCAACATCTTTCATGGAATATCATATTCTAGATCTATTTATATTACAAAAGATTGTATTACAAAGCAATATTACAATTAAGATCATTACTTGCAATTTGACATAGGAATGATCCAATAAATCAAGAATTTGCTCGTTATAATTTACTCCATGCGTGCCTCCCATTCTTGTACCAAATCGATATCATCAGACTTGAAATAGAAAATAAAATCAATATTATAAGTGAAAATTTCATCCTAACTATTCTATTCTAATGAAGAAAGTCCCACATAAACTAAGACATGGATTTATGCGAAATTCCTTTGTATCTGTTATTATTATTCTCATATCTGTGATGACTCTTTCATAAATAATATTTAATATAGACATATAATTATTTTCAATTTTTAAAAATAATCTGTAAACGAAATAATGGAGAACATAAATGCTGAACTGGGAATGATCCAATTTAACCAGGGAAAACTCCAAGTCCTTATAAACCTCAAAACAAAATGTCAACCCTAAATAGTGCTTACTTTCTCCACCAACATTTGAAAGCAACAACCAAATATATTAGAGAATAAATTAAAATTATAAGTAACAGCGTAAAAGATTATCACTTTGAATCTAAAACCTCATTCCTCTAACTGATTCTACTCTATGCCAGGTCTCAAGAAATGACAATTTTTTTTAGTGTATGGGCACTTTTCAAGATTTAACATCTGGAATGTTGGAAAAGAGAAATACCATAACAGTGAAATAGGACTTGTCATAATTGTGCTTTTCAAGAAAGACCAAGTGTAAGGAATTAAATTAAATCAATAATTTTCAATTTACTTTCTCTCGTTGTAAACCCGAAGACAAGTAAATTGGGGTTCTAAGAAATTATAAAAGTAGATATAGAAATTCATAAAAGTACCAGTAACTGAAAATAAATTGAGAGACAAATACAATAATTTTAAAAAGGAAATAACGAAAACTAAGCCTTGAAAAATTAGAACTCAATTAAACTCTAATCATCTCTAAAATAGAACCATTCCACAGAATATATCCCAATTCAATAACAATTTGTAAAAGTAGATTTAGATGAAAATAAGTGGAGAATTAAACAAAAATAGAATTTTTAAAAAGGAGACAAACCTGGTGGAATCTTTAACAGGGGCAATCGATTAGTGAGAAAAAAGTGTCATGAGACTTTTTAATTTTTAAAGAGGATAATGGTGGCAACTCTTCTTCAAAAAAATGTCCGTATGCTTGGCGTCTGTTCGTAGGGTGACGTCTGTTGTAAGGGACTTTGCTGAAGTGACGTACGTTTTAGGTTCTCATATTTAAGTTAATAAAAAGGACACTTTAATAAATAATAAAGGGGTAATTTAGTAATTTGACTTTTAGATTATGATGTTCCTGCTTGTAGATTAGAATAGTCATATGGTTTGGTTCTAGATTAATTTTATTACGTTAGAGATCAAAGGTGTTTCCAGTATTTGTATTTTAATTTAAATAATGGAGTATATGTATCTAAAATATATCCATTTGCTTATGCCTATCATTGGAGAAGCTATTCCTTTGAAAATTTTTGGGGCTCAGGTATCCAATTACTAATCCCAAAGATCACGAAAGCTTAAGCAAAAATAAAAGAGCAAGCTGAGGGATGTCACTAAATTGAGGGTCCCACCCGCTTGCTCTAAGCTTTTTTAGTAGATATGTCTAACAATTCCTTTATAAAGTGGTGATGAAATGCATGATTAGTGCAACGTTTTTTATTTACCAAAGTTGATCATCATCCGTTTCAACTTTGTCGCAAAATTTCTTGAACACCTTTAGTATAAACCAATGTTTTAAAAGAAGCAAGCGAGTGAGAGAAACCAATGTTGTATTTTTCGTGTTGAATTAAGGATCGTTTAGCACTTTCAATTTTAATTTCGAGATGTTCTCTAGGCTTGCGTCCCAAAAGAAAAATTTGCTCTAACGCTGTCCTTCCCCCGTTGCAGAAGCCAAATGTATATAGTGTGAATAAGTCATAACTACCAAAAATTATGACAGCCACCAAATAATAAATAAGACAATAAAGCAACAATAAAAGGAACACCAGAATTTACGAAGTTCGGCTAATTTTGCCTACTTCTCAGTNAAAGTAGACTTCCAACTAACTGGTGCCTTTGCAAAAGTAAACACATAACTAGTAGTTGATCTTCATTTGTCCAAATCACCCGCAAAATCTGAGTCACAATATCCAACTACAGACTGATTGTCTTCCTGCTCAAAAACTAACCCGACATCTACAGTATTATGAATATACCGTAGAATCCACTTCACAGCTTGCCAATGCTCCTTCCCTGGATTGTGCATATATCTGCTAATAACTCCAACAGCTTGTGAAATGTCAGGCCTTGTGCAAACCATTGCATACATCAAGCTACCAACAACATTTGCGTATGGTACCTTTGACATATACTCTCGTTCAGCTTCATCCATTGGCGACATAGTAGTACTTAGCTTAAAATGGGAAGCAAGTGGAGTACTAACTGGCTTAGTCTTGTCATCTATGCCAAAACGTTGAAGTACTCTCTTCAAATATTCCTTTTGAGATAAACAGAGTTTCTTTGAACGTCTATCTCTAATTATCTCCATGCCAAGAATTTTCTTTGCCTCACCCAAATCCTTCATCTCGAACTCCTTCTTCAGTTGAATCTTCAACTTATCAATTTCTTCCAAATTCTTGGAAGCTATCAACATATCATCAACATATAGGAGAAGATATACAAAGGAACCATCTTTAAGCTTGTGCAAATACACACAATGATCGTATTTGCTTCTCTTGTACCCTTGCCGCAACATAAACTCGTCAAATCGCTTGTACCATTGTCTAGAAGATTGTTTCAATCCGTACAACGATTTTTCAAGTTTGCACACCATATTTTCTTTTCCAGCAACTTTGAATCCTTCTGGCTGAGTCATGTAGATTTCCTCCTCCAAGTTTCCATGTAAAAACGCAGTTTTTACATCCATCTGAACTAGTTCCAAATCCAATTGTGCTACCAAAGCCAACATAATTCTAATGGAGGAATGTTTTACAACTGGAGAAAACACTTCATTGTAATCAATTCCCTCCTTTTGAGCATATCCTTTGGCCACCAATCTTGCTTTGTAGCGAACATCTACTTGGTTAGGAAATCCTTCCTTCTTTGCAAATACCCATTTGCACCCAATTGCTTTCTTTCCCTTCGGGAGATTGGCCAATCTCCATGTATGATTCTGATGAAGGGACTGTATTTCATCATTCATGGCAATCCTCCACTTATCTTCTTCTGAACTTTGGACAGCGTCTTTATAAGTAGTAGGAACATCATCAGCTACAATTGAGGTTGCACAAGCAACCGTCTCTATGAGACGAACAGGTTTCGTTATTGTTCTTTTTGGCCTGCTGGTTGCTATTGATTCAAGTTGTTGTTGAGATTCCTGAGTTGGAATCTCCTCTACTGGCTCTCCTTCCAGAGGGTAATCTTCATTTGTTTCCTCCTCTGCTTCTTGTGTAGGAAAAATAAATTTTCCCTCAAACTCCACCTGCTTAGAAGCACCTTCATTTTGTTTGGTATCTTCTGTTACCTTATTTACCATAGCAAATTCATCAAAGGTAACATCTCTGCTGAATATTACTTTCTTTGTCATAGGACACCATAAGCGATATCCTTTGACTCCAGAAGTAATTCCCATAAAAATAGCCTTCTTTGCCCTTGGATCCAATTTTGACTCCGTCACATGATAATATGCAGTTGAGCCAAACACGTGCAAAGAGTTATAATCTACAGCAGGTTTTCCGTACCATTTTTCAAATGGTGTTTTGCCATCAATAGCAGCAGATGGTAGACGATTAATGAGGTGGCATGCATATGTAATTGCCTCAGCCCAAAATTCTTTGCCCAAGCCAGCATTGGACAACATACACCGTACCTTCTCCAGCAAGGTCCGGTTCATACGTTCTGCCACTCCATTCTGTTGTGGTGTATGTCTAACAGTGAAGTGTCGGACGATGCCATCATTTTCACAGACCTTATTGAAATGATCATTTTTGTATTCACCTCCATTGTCTGTGCGAATACACTTGATCCTCCTGCCTGTTTGATTCTCCACCATCGTCTTCCATTTGAGAAAAATTCCCAGCACTTCATCTTTGTTTTTCATTGTATACACCCACACTCTTCGAGAAAAATCATCAACAAAGGTTACAAAATAGTGCTTCCCACCCAATGAAGGTGTTTTGGAAGGACCCCAAACATCAGAGTGTACATAATCCAAAATGCCTTTAGTATTATGGATCGCTGTACCAAATTTAACCCTTGTCTGTTTCCCTTTGACACAATGCTCACAAAACTCCAAGTTGCAAGCCTTTACTCCTTTTAACAATCCTTGATCTGATAGAGTTTTCAAGGATTTTCCTCCAGCATGTCCCAAGCGCATGTGCCATAGCTTGGTTGCTTCTGCCTCTTTGTCGTCACTGGATGTCACTGTCGCTGTCCCAATAACTGTACTGCCACGATAGCGGTACATATTATTATTCTTCCGATTAGCCTTCATTACCACTAGTGCACCGGAGCATACTCTCATCACTCCATTTTCTGCAATGATTTTGAACCCTTTTGATTCTAGGGCTCCCACAGAGATGAGATTCTTCTTCAAATCCGGTACATATCGAACATCTATCAATGTTCTGATCATTCCATCATGGTTCCTTAATCGTATTGAACCAATGCCATATGAGGTAAGAGGGCTGTTATCCGCTGTGTGGATGACTCCATATTCTCCTTCTTGAAATTCCACGAACCAGTCCCTGTTGGGACACATATGATAGCTACAAGCCGAGTCCATCAACCATATGTCTGATGATGTTGATGACTCTGTTGTAACTAATGAGAAGTCTGAATCATCACAATCAGCTACATTTGAATCCATAATGGCCTTTCCATTGTTATGTTTGGCCTTATTCTTCAACTTCGGACAGTCTTTCTTCCAGTGCCCTTTTTCTCGACAAAAGGCACATTCATCTTTGCTGGGTCTGGATCTTGACTTGGATCTTCCCTTCTTTGTCCTCGTTTGATTTTGAGGACGACCCCTCACAAATAGTGCTTCTCCTTCTCCGCCCTTCTGTTTTTCTCGCTTTCTTTGTTCATAGCTGTACAAAGCCGAACAAACTTCTCTGAGAGAAACTTCGTCATTTCCATGGAGTAGAGTAGTTTCAAGGTGCTCGTACTCATCAGGAAGTGACGCCAACAACATCAAGGCCAAGTCACCATCATCATAAGTTGTATCCATATTTTGCAAATCTGTGACCAACTTATTGAAACTGGTGATATGTTCATTCATCGTGGTACCAGGAACATAGGTGAAGTGAAACAGTCTCTTCTTCATGTACAATTTATTTTGACTGTTTTTCTTCAAAAATTTATCCTCCAGTGCTTTCCATAATTTACTTGCAGAAGTTTCCTTTGTGTATGGATATTTCTGCTCTCTAGCAAGGTAGGATCGAATGGTACCGCAAGCAACACGGTTGATAATTCTCCAATCTTCTTCTCCAATAACATCTGGTTTCTTTTCTTCAATGGCCAGATCTAGCCCTTGTTGAAAAAGGACATCTAGAACCTCGCCTTGCCACATCCCAAAATGTCCGGACCCGTCAAATATTTCTACCGCAAATTTCGCATTTGACACAATTCTTGTCATAAGCGAAGATGCCAATGATGACGTATTGTTGACACTTGATGTAGATTCTTCTTGTTTATTGTCTCCCATCTTTGACACAAATATTATTTAATAGCTGACGACACAAATCAAGATTATTTCCTTTCTGGTGTGGAAGATCAGACTAAGCTGCAACCACAGAGCATACTCAGACAGAACCTTGACTCAGTTACCAAGATAAATCTTTTCTGATGTGGAAGATCAGACTATGCTGCAACCACAGAGCATACTTAGACAGTACCTTGGCTCTGATACCAATTGTTGCGGAAGCCAAATGTATATAGTGTGAATAAGTCACAACTACTATACCAAAAATTATGACAGCCACCAAATAATAAATAAGACAATAAAGCAACAATAAAAGGAACACCAGAATTTACGAGGTTCGGCTAATTTTGCCTACTCCTCAAACACAACTAATATTTTATTCTACTCCAAAAATACAAGTGAAATAATATTAAAGAAAGAAGATACAAATGCCTTAAGAAGATAAGAAGGCAAATAAGAGGTATATTTAAATCCTAAACATTAGGCCTCCTTTTATAGGAAAAAATTCCCACCAAGTTTACTTCCCAACCGATGTGGGATATTGTCATATTCAACACCCCCAACCAAGATCGTCCTGGTGCGTTTTTACTATGCTCTGCCCCTGGACTCGCCCAAAAAACACCCTTTAAAACACAAGTAGTCAAACTTGAAGGAATGTACTCATTCTCCATCTCTTTAAACTACCAATCTATCTCGTTACAAAAATAGAATAACTTGTATCGCTTGATCATCAATTTTGGTTCAAATATGTATTAGATTAACATATTTAATGCTCTAAGAAATATTTATTACTCCATAAGAATATATGGGTGGAAGAATTAACCTTAATCTAAGGAAAAGCGTTAAGAAAAAGTGGATATACTAAAATTTTGAATGATATACAGTGTTTTTTTAAATTTTTTAGCTAGCCAATTTTTTCATAGTCTATTTAGTTTCCTAATCAGCTTAGGATAGTAGAAATTGGAATTACGTAGTAGGTTTAGGTTTAGGTTTAGGATTACTTCTTGGGAGTTAATTCACGAAAGACCCTAGAGACCTCTTCTAAACCATTTTGGTTTTGGTTCAAAGATAAGCCGTCCCTTGCAGCTATAAATATAACATTTACGTAGAAGAAGAAATCATCAAATATTACAAACCTTGATCTTTCTTTCTTTCTTTCAATCATATTTGAACGAACCCAAAGAAAGAAGAAGAAAAGAGTAGAGTACTCTGTGTGTGTGTGTGAATTAACAATGGACGTGGAAAGTGGAGATAATGAATCAACAGAATATGCATTCAAGGATAAAGAAGTACCACCGTGGAAGAAGCAAATAACGTTGAGGTCAATGGTGACTGGCTTGATCCTGAGCGTTGTGTTCAACTTCATTGTTTGCAAACTGAATCTCACGACTGGTGTTATCCCTTCTCTTAACGTGGCCGCGGGGCTCTTGGGGTTCGCCATGATTAGGTCATGGACGGCTGTTATCGAGAAGTTTGGAAAATTGAAGCAGCCTTTTACTAGGCAAGAGAATACCGTCATCCAGACGTGCGTTGTTGCTTCTTCTGGCATTGCTTTTAGCAGCGGGACAGCAAGTTATATGTTAGGAATGAGTCCATTCATAGCAGCTCAGGCTGATGCAGGAAATACCCCAAATAATACTATGAAGCTTGATATTAGTTGGATGCTTCCCTTTCTTCTTGTTGTCAGCTTTGCTGGTCTCTTCTCAATTGTGGCACTAAGAAAGTTGATGATTATCAAGTACAAGTTGACATATCCGAGTGGAACTGCGACTGCATACCTTATCAACTGTTTCCACACTCCTAAAGGAGCAAAGCTGGCCAAGAAACAAGTTGGTTCCTTGTTCAAATCCTTTGGCTTCAGCTTTATATTTGGGGCTGTTCAGTGGATATTTGCACGTGAAGATGGCTGCGGATTTGGTAGCTTGCCTACATTTGGTTTCAAAGCCTATGCCAAAAGGTTCTATTTTGATTTCTCCTCAACATATGTTGGAGTTGGTATGCTCTGCCCCTACATGGTCAATGTTTCGTTGCTAATTGGTGCCATTATATCATGGGCTATTATGTGGCCAATGATTGAAGCGAAGAAAGGCGACTGGTACTCTGACCACTTATCCGCATCAAGTCTTCATGGTATCCAAGGATATAGGGTATTTATCGCAATTGCCATGATGCTTGGAGATGGTCTATTCCATTTTGCTTACATGGTTGTCGTCACAGCCTTAAGTTTCAAAAAGAGGAAATCATCAGGAGAGGAAGATTATTCAGGTGAAGAGTCCTCAGAAGACTATGACACGAAGAGACAAAACGAGTACTTCTTGAAAGAAGAGATCCCCATCTGGGCAGCCATTGGCGGATACGTTGGTATTGCAGTCATATCTATCATTGTGGTGCCAATTATCTTCCACTCTCTCAAATGGTATCACATTCTCGTTGCCTATGTAATTGCTCCAGTTTTGGCCTTCTGCAATTCTTATGGAAGTGGCCTCACTGATTGGTCCTTGGCCTCAAATTACGGGAAAATTGCAATCCTTACATTTAGTTATTGGGTTGGTTTGCAAAACGGTGGAGTGATTTCTGGCCCTGCTTCATGTGGATTGGTGATGAGCATACTCGACACAGCTGCTGGCTTGATGGGAGATTTCAAGACTGGTTACTTAACGCTTACATCGCCGCGTTCCATGTTCTTTAGCCAAGTCATTGGAACTGCCATGGGCTGTGTGATAACACCACTAGTCTTCTGGATTTTCCACAGTGCCTATAAATTGGGTGATCCAGAAGGTTCATACCCTGCACCTTATGCATTGATGTATCGTGGAATCGCGCTACTTGGAGTGGAAGGTTTTGGAAGTCTTCCCAAGCATTGCCTCAGGCTCTCTATTTGGTTCTTTGTGACTGCTATTGTGATCAATATACTGACTCAGCTGCTGAAAAAATTCGAGACCAAGTATAGGATTTATCGGTTCGTCCCAAGTCCAATGTGCATGGCTATACCATTTTACCTTGGAGGGTACTTTGCCATTGACATGTGTATTGGGTCATTGATTCTATTCTTTTGGGAAAAGGTGAACAAGCAGCAAGCTAAAGATTTTGGACCTGCAGTGGCTTCTGGTCTCATATGTGGTGAATCCTTGTGGGGAATTCCAGCATCTGTTCTTGCTCTAGCTGGTGTCAAAGCTCCATTTTGCATGAAAGTTCATCACTGATTTTAGTCCCACATTCCTCCTCCTGATCATATAATCGTTGTACAAATTAAGCTTTTTTGTCTCCCTTTGTCTAAGTTTTTAGTCTTTTAGTTATTTTAGTCTTCTTCGCGTCACATGTTTTAAGTTGTCTGTTTTATTGTAGTAGTAGAATTAATACAAGTTGTATTTCTGTACTTGTCATTTGTTGGTACCAGCTACTAATGGATTATGATTTTAGTTAGTAACGTCAATGTATTGCGTCGTTTCTTTCTTCTTTTAATTAAGATTTTTCCTCCTGCAAAAAATGATCAGTGGTCTGGTTTTTAGCCATGTTGGTGACCATCAGAGAGTCTGATTCTAGTACTATTATATTGTTGACACACCAGTCAAATGCCTATTATTAAAGCTGGTCTTGCTTCTGCTTCAATATAATACTGCTGTTACACTGTACACGGCAAGTAAATGCCATAATAAAATTAATTGCATTGCAGAATAGTTGGAGAAATGTCCATCTTTAGTTGGATTCCAGATGATAAAATCTGGTAGATTCTAACTTCCTATCTCTATATTACCAATGTATTGGATTGGACTATATACGTTCTCTGGAACAAAGTCCCTAAGCGCGCTTGTGCTGTTAATAAACGACATTGGCCAAAAGTGTTATGGCCAGTTCTTATTTTTTTTTTTTTTTTTTTTTTTTTGTAATTATGAATTTTCATTACCAGGAAAATATTTACAAATTGTTTCAAAACCTCTGAAGTTGGACATCAGCCCCAACTTCAGTATACTTCATTTTCTTCTAAGCAAACAAAGATAAAAGCTATACATTATGCTGTATCCTCTAATCCCTCTAGCTAGGGTAGTAATCTAGCTGCTTCAACACTTGCGCCAATTTCTTCCTCATTCTCCCTTATGTCTTGAATAATCTACCTCACTATAACTGCTGCTGGCCTTGTTTTCTATTGGAAAATTTTGCTATTCCTATCTAACCACGCATAGTACACACTACCTGCTAGGGCCATGCGATATATTTCTGCTCGGGCACTGTTGCCAGATGCATTTTTTTGAGCCCATTCATCTTCTTCTTTCCATCCCATAGCTTGTCTCTGAATTCCCTGCCAGTCGAGTATTTGTTGCCAGATGCTATCAAGATAGTGTATAACAAGATGAGAGACAAACATCCTAAAGTGCAATGGAGGAAACTGATCTGTAATAACCATGGTTGTCCTAAATGGTTGTTCATATTGTATTTGCCTATTTGTTACAATGGTGCTTTCGTCGAGAGTCGAACTCAAAGGCAATTAAAGGGGAAAAACATCCACTACTCCTATATGAAAGTTTTGTTGTTCTATATGCAAATTATCCTATTCTTAGTATTGAGATGATTGGTTGGGAGCTCCCCAGTCCCACTATTCTTGACCCAAACCTTGAGGACAATATTCTTTTTTAGAACGGAGGAATTGTTATGAATTCCATTGGCCAAAAGACTAAGGGCGTTGATAACGCCCAACTATGTCTTATAAAAAAGACTAAGCGGTCGTTGCAAATATAATCCGGTTTACAAGTCCGGAGTCGAATCCCACAGAGAACTAAGGTTTAGCTACAACTGTTCACTATCACCAAGAAGACAAGCTTGAGCAATTCCTAACTTATAGATATTAAGATTCTTGTATTTAACTAATTAACTAACAAATTAAAATAGTAAATTAACAACTACAGATACTAAGGGTTAGAGAAAAGATTAAGGAGCTCTAGAGTTATGATTTTTCCAATTGTCGGAATCCTTCCCGCTACGTTTTCTATAAATTTGCCTAAGTATTCTCTACCGATCATGAGCGCTCTGACTGTCGTAACTCTCTCCCGAGTAATTACCATAATTTTCTAGACATATTCTCCCGAATTACGCTAGCTGACATTAAGTATGACTCACTCGGATCGCACCCAAGGTTTCATTATCCCTAATCCCATCTTTAAACCCTTTGTATTGATCCCTCATATACGTTAGGAGTGACGTTGTTTAACAACTACCTAAATATGCACTCTCTCCCGAGTAATATACACTAAATAGGCACAGTCGATTGAGAGCTCTTCAACCAACCACAATAATAACGTAGTTGAACAAATAGAGAAAATACTACGGCAAAACTATATTAACGTAACAGGAAAATTATCCTCCAATAGGTTCCATCAAAACCCTTGATAACAAATTAGCTATTCATAATAGTATGAATAACTACAATACTAGAATTCATAACCAATAATACAAATAGGAAGATGGAATTGAAAAACTCGTAGAAGAATTCTCCGCCTTGCTCCTAGTGTGTTCTTGCCTATGTAGGTCTCAAGTGTGTCAAAACTTGATATCCCTCTCTGTCTCTCTAAAATCCGTCAAAAGTGACATTTTTAGGTCTATTTATTTGTTTAGGACAAGACTTCAATGTGTAGGCCAATCCTAGTCAAGCCGGAAAACAATTCAAACTCGGACTGGGCCTGGCCTTAGGCTTGGCGTTGCCTGGATAACGCCAGCCTAGGCCTGGTGGCTTTAAGCTGGCTTCGCCTAGATAACGCCAGCCTAGGCCTGGCTTTAAGCTGGCTTCGCCTGGATAACGCCTGGCTAGGCCTGGCTTTAAGCTGGCTTCGCCTGGATAACGCCTGGCTAGGCCTGGCTTTAAGCTGGCCTCCCCTGGATAATGCCTGATCGAGCTGGCTTTTGCTAGACATCTCCTTTTCACCGTTCTCGATCGCACTTTCGATGTTTAAGCATCCCTTTAGCTCTACTTTCATTTACGATGCACCTACACGTAAAATAGCCTCCATTACGCTCAAACAAAGTGTATTTTAACATTAAAGCATGTAAAATGCAAAGCATATAATATGCAAAAACCATGAATTATAGCCACACATCAATACCCCACACTTAAATATTTGCTCGTCCTCAAGCAATCAAGCTACACTTATGGACACAACCTATTAAACAATTCCCTTAATTTATTATACTAAGAATCTTTAAAATAGACTAAGCATAAGGGTGTAACATCTTCACCTCAAGATTTGACTCACAAGTACCATGTGTTATTCACCACTCAGCCACTTACTCTAACATAGAGGTCAATGACATTACCTTTTCATCATGAATCACGTTCCCTCACAAAAAAAGAATAGTTCCACATACAATAAAATTTAAGAACATTTAGGAACTCAAGATAGAAAGAATTCACTCACTCTCAGAAATAACATTCATATGCTCAAAAGATGCACCATAGGCTTGCCCGTAGTGTACTACTCTACTAATCGAGCCCATTTAGTCTAGGATCAAGTAGGACATTAATTGATTGTAATGTAGGCTACGGGTCGAGTAGGATACATTTGGATATAAGAGTGACTACACCTCCCTAAGAACTTTAATACATATACTTTAACATTCAAACCCCATACTTATGTCAAACCATGACTCCACCTTCACATCAATGTACATCAACTCCTCAGTTGTTTAAGCACAATTATATCAAGAGTTACCACTTATCAATGAATATCTGCACACAATACAACTATTTTTTTCTTTTTTCAATTCAAGTAGCTCTTGCTCTTTCAAATAAGTGCACCTTTCTCCTTATTTCATTAGTTCCACTCAAAAGCCAAACTAGCTACCCCACACTTTAACTTTTACATAAATCATCACAATTCAAGTGCTCATGAGAGGTTAAAAGGTTCAAGTAGATGGTTAATTCAAACAATTGGGTAAGGCTGTAATGTGGTTGCCAAAAAAAAGGATTACAGACTCAAAGGAGTTAACTACGATACATAATAATTAAGCGGGTAAAATATACATATCTGGCTCAACAAAAAAACGCATATATTACTTCCAAGACTGAATAAAACTACTATTTCGCTTTGCAAACACACGGGGCAAGTTCTAGGCATCAAATGCAATGCACAAAATAACACCCAAACCTCACACACACATGACACATAACTCACTCAGAGTTGGATTCATCAAGACACTCTAGTCAAAGCAGTTAAACAAATTAAGGTCATATAATTTAAGGCACTTTTACAAGAGTCAAAAACTGAGCTTAAACGTCACAACCAAAGTACTCACTATTCTCAAAGCATAACAAAATCAAGAGATATCGTTGCAGTTCAATTCATCTCACACTAGCTCCTACTACCTAAAAAAACTAACTATGCTCGGTTCAAACAAAACCCTTGAAAAAGAATCGTGGCACAAAGAAAAACCAAGGGGGAATTACTACACTACCTACAAAGAAAATCTTTTAATCCTTTTTTTAGACTTAAATCCCTCAAGAAAATTGTCTAGGATATTCATCGTTGGGAAAAATCCAATCTTTTTTTTTCATTTTTCTAAAAGATAAAAAATATTCAATTAAACTAACACAACTAAAATAGCATAGAAAGTCACCCAGACAATCTCCTCACCCTATACTTAAAATTGTGCATTGTCCCCAATGCACACCATACTAATAAGAGGGTAAAAGAAAATCCCTGGTAGGCCAAAAGCCGAAGCACTAACAGCTCATAGGGTACTCAGACTTCTCCCAGGCTTGATCCTTCGTCCGGGTACCTCACACTTAGTTCCAACCATCTGGTTTACTATTCCATCCTTCCAATAGCTTTGCTTTCCATGCTCCTAGAAAATAAAAAATCGACACTACAAAAATAATACAATAATAAAAATAATATTATAATAATAAAAATAAAAAAATAAAAGAAAGCAGTAAAGCCGGGTTGCCTCCCAAAAAGCGCTTGATTTAACGTCGCGGCACGACGTGAATCACTTTCTGCCTCCATTTTGGACTTATGAATTGGACCCCAAGTTTTGCTTCTGCTCTATGATCATGCTCCTGGGGTGGTAGAACGAATCTGACTGGCCCAATAAAACAATGTAGTATTCTGCACTTCTTGGCCTTTGGATGAGATGTGTATTCCCGACTTTCTAGCACGAAGAATTCCAGAATGTGGGCATCTTGTTCCTTACTCCTTGACTCCTCAAGTTTCTCGGACGACTCTATTTCCATATCATCATCCAAACGCAATGTGAAAAAAATGTTTGAAGTATGGACCAAAGCGCTCAACTACATAAACATTGGGATTGTCAACATCCTCAACACTAAGGACACTAGAGTCAACTAAATATGTATCCCCAATATCCTTGGTTGATTATAGTATCTCTTCTACAAC